CCCCACCGGGCAGGTGCAGCTGGCTCCGCAACTGCGGCCCAATGCTGCGAGCTGCTCAGGCGGGATGTCAAACAGGCCGCACAAGAACCGCACATCATTTTTATGGATGGCAGCAACCGCGTCCTTGAAGAAACCTGGATGCCACGCTTGTTGTTCTGTTTGCGTGATCTTGTGTTGGAGACGTTCGGTGACTGCGTGTCTGGACACGACGGCAAAACGGATCACCGCGGCAGGATTCATCTCGGAGCCCTTCAGGCGAAAGCTCAGGATCGTGACGGCGTGGGTGGCCCCAACAACATGACCCGCAACTGCGGTCTCTGCGATGATGTGCGGGCGCACGAGCACCAGGCCCGTCTCTCTGAACAGGGGGACCGTCGTCCAGTAAGGCTCCTCGGAGGCGTTTTTCATAGTGACAGCGTTGTCGATGGCACTCCTGAGTCCAACGCGAACGTCGTAGCTGCAAGCGCCTTCGACGTTCCCCGTGCGGAACAGCTCGGGGTCCCATACGACGAAGACGACCGCCGCAGTTTGGTGCAAGATGCACCTGAAGACATCTTCGTTTGTTGCCACCTTCGTGATGACCACCACGTTGAACACCAAAGCGATGGTGGACGGAACCCGATTGCCGTCTGCTGTACGAAGGAATCCTTCGTTCCACTTGGGGCGTTCCCCAAAGTAGTTTATCCCTGGAGGGGACCTGGTCCGCTGCTTCTTCCGCGGTGCTCCCGCATCTTCCCGCAACTGCGGTTCCGACGGAGGCCCCGCGCGACCCCGCGACTGCGGTTCTGACAGCGGCGAGTCTTCCGTGGGAGGCGGCCTTTTCCTCGGCCGCGAATCGGCCGAGGCGGTTGTCTCGGCGGCTTTCTCCTGGGAGGCGGCCTCGTCTTCGGGTTGGGCGCCTCGTTTGGACTCGGCTGCGAGCAGCACGGCCGAGGGCGCGCTGCTCCCAGATGAGCCGCGCGCGGCACCTGGCTCGCCGGCCACCCCCGCAACTGCGGTCTCGGTGGCGGCTCCCGTCACTGCTGGTTGGTCCTGCTGCTTCGTCGGCGTCTGCGCCCGAGGCCCCCATTTTGCCTTGGGGGTCAAGTGCGCCCTGCGCAACTGCGCCTCTTCGCGCCTCCCACCAGCAGAGCTCCCACTCGCAGCGCTTATCGGCGGCGGCGGCCGATATTCGATGGCCGACCGCGAGGAGCTAGACGACTGCGGGGAGGCCTCGCGCGGCGGTCGCTCGGGGCTTCCGCTACTGCGGTCCCCCGTCGGCTCCGCGACTGCGGCATCCGCGGCAGCCCCTTGCGCGCCGAGCCTTTCCCGCAGTTGCTGCTTCAGCTCGGCGAACCGCTTGTCGACCTCGGCTTTGCGAGCTGGGTCCATGGCGTGGCCGCGCGCGGCCCCCGTCCGACGGGGGAACTGCGGCCGGCTTGGGAGAGGAACGGCAACGAGGGAGACGGCGGGGATGAGGACGAGGAAGGCGAAGAGGAGGATGGAGAGGACGCGACGGAAGAGGATGGCGCGAAGAGCTCAGACGAGGGTGAAAGGAGCAAGGGGACTGCGACGAGGATGACGGGCAAGAAACGGAGGAGGAGGAATCAACAAAGTCCGCAACTGCGGCCCTCGGGGGGGAAAGCGACGAGGACGACGGGAAATGACTCGGCCAACGGAGGCGGGCTACGGCCAACGGAAGGAACTGCGACGAGGAGGAAAGGCGGAGGGAGGAGACTGCGACGAGGACGACGGGGAAGGGGATACGAGGACGACGAACAACTGCGGATCCATCTGTTTAAGTACCTGTCTCCGCAACTGCGGCCGCGCTAATTAACGTCACGAGTGCTTCAACGGAGGTGATGCGCGCCCGAAGCACCTAATTACAGCGGTCAGTCGTGGGAGCGCCGCAACTGCGGCCAAGCTGTATGAAGTCGCTAGAAGGCAGCGCCGCAACTGCGGCCGAAAGCGCGCATAGTGAGTCAAACGAGCGCGGCGTCACGCGATCGGTTTCCGCAACTGCGGTTCCATGGCTGCGCAATCCCGCAACTGCGGTGTCAAGGCTGCGCGGACCACCGCGGTTGCAGATGCGCCCCCTTGCTCGCGTCGAACCGCCCAGGATTCGGATGGGCGTGCAGCATCTTCCAGAACGTGAACGTTCCGTGGCCATCGCTCTTGCCGAGACCTGCCCTCGGGCCCCGCACGGGATGCGAGTGCGGCTCCACCTCATACGTGTTGAACTTCGGGCTAGACCAGGATGGGTGGACGCGAATGCCCGAGCCGTCGTCGCGGATGAGGACGAAATCCCACTGGGGCAGAGGGATTCTTTGCGCCTGTCCTCTGTCCACCCCTTTCGTGTGCCTCATGTTGTCGAGACTGCTAGGGCACGGGCGGCACTCGCAGCGGACCAACCCGCGACTGCGGTCATTGTCAGGGCCGCACACGACGCGCAGCATTGTAGGTCCATCCATCTGCGCGACCATCTCCAGCCAAGACCACGGCACTTTGACAGTGTGGTCCCAGTCCCAATCCCTGTTGTCCTGCGCCTTCCCCTTTGCGCGGTACTTAAGGATCTTCGAAATTTCCTCCGCAACTGCGGTACCTCCGAAGACGGGCGTGCGGCTGCCGAAAGGGTTTTCTCGGTCTTCGTACTCGTCTCGGAACCACTTCAAGGCCGCGTTGTGCTGCTTATAATTGCCGTTCCAGTTCGCCCTGAAGTTCTCGAAGAATTCCAACTTGAAAATTGGCAGCGGCTCATTGCGCACAATTTGAAACAGCGCAACTGCGCCTTGTTCTTCGCGCCCTGGGGGAAGCAGGGGACCGCCTCCTTTGCCCGCCGCTGTTGCGGCCGCGGGCTCCGCGGCAGGAGAACCTGCCGAGGCACTCGAGCGGCCACCTTCCCATGCATTCCACCAGCCACCCTCGTCGTCCCACCAGCGGGCGCCCTCCATTCCCCAACCCTCGCATCCGTTGCCGCCCCATCCGCCGCCCTCCCATCCGCGACTGCGGTCACTTCCGTCGCCGCCATCCTGCGCTTTTCCTCTCCATCCGCCAAGAGAATCTCCGCCGCCCCAGCCGCCACTGCGGTCACCTCCGCCGCCGTATCCGCCACTGCGGCCGCCCCAACCCCCACTTGTTCCCCAACCGCCGCCGCTGCTCTTTGAAGAATCCGCAACTGCGGCCCGTGTTTCCTCTTCCGCTTTGTCATCCCACCCTGCACGCATCTCTGCCCCGACTGCAGGCCGCGGAGGCGGGCGCGAGCCCGCCCAACCGCCGTGAAACCTACCGTCGGCGCGGGCTTGAGCCGAACGTGCATGGAGGAGGAGGATGAGGAGGAGGAGGGTGAATGTGAGGAGGATGATGCGTTCCTGGGAGGTGTGCCTTCGCGTGCAACACAAGAGCCCTGAGAATTCCTGAGGCCCCTCCAACAGCCAAGGACGCGGATGACAAGAAAGTCGAGAAGATTGGGAACCGATTGAGGATTAAGAGGCGTGCGACGAAAGGGATGATGATGACGAAGAGGAAGATCAGTGAAGGGGAGGAGCGGACAGGAATTATGGAGGAGTGATAGCAGAGGAGGAAGAGGGGGAAGGGGGAGGAGGAGGAGGAGGAGGAGGGAGAGGAAAAGGGGGAGGAGGAGGAGGAGGAAGAAGGTGAGGAGGAGGAGGAGGAGGAGGAGGAGGAGAGGAGGAGGAGGAGGAGGAGGAGGAGGAGAGGAGGAGGAGGACGACGACGACGAGGAGGAGGAGGAGGAGGAGAGGGAGAAGGAGAACGGGGACAGGAGGACAAGGACGGAGAAATATAACAAATGAGGGGGAGGAGGCGGAGGAGGAGGAGGACGAGGAGGAGAAGCAGGAAGAGGAGGAGGAGAGGGGGGAGGAAGAGTGCGCGTGAGACTGGGAGAACGAGGTAATTAATTAGAGAGGGAACGGGGGAGGAGGGAGGACAAGGAAGAGCATACAGCGACGAGAAGAGGAGAAGGAACAGACGAAGGCTCCTGCTGATCGCATTTCCGCATCGTTCAAAGCAGTGCCGGGGCACTGCTTTGAACGACTGGTGATGTTCAAAGCAGTTCCCCGGCACTGTGTTCCATCGTCGCCGTTATAAGGGCTATTGGATTAGAGAGGATCGGCCCTTTCTTGAAAGCTTCCAGGGACGCAGTAGGGGCTTCCAAGGGGCGGGCGGCCTTCTTGGAAGTCTGCCCCTCGCCCTGCCCTCTCTCGCGCGCCGTCGACCAACTCCACCACGGCCTCCCCCAAAAGCACGCCCGAAGTCGAGGTGAGCTACAGGGGTCCCGAGGGAACCTGGTCCTGGACACCCTGGGGCCCCCGCGCTCGAGATAGGCTGTTTTCGGATAGCCCGGGCCCCCAGAAGCGGAAAGCCGCGAAGAGCCTCCGGGCCCCTCTCCCTCGGGACGCCTCTGGCTTCGGCTGCACGGAAGAGCGAGCCTGGACAGCAGCGACCTCTGGTGCGCGGCTTGGCGTGGCCGCGGGGGGCCGAATCCAAGCGCGCACGCCAGCGTTGGGGGGACTCCCGCGGGCCGGCACCAAGGGTCATGCTGGCGAAGGGCCCCCTCTCGTGCGCAGCCGACGGCTCAGGGCGGCCAGGGCCTCCTTGCCCATGAACTTTTGCTGCCCCGATGCGCAAAACGCATCCCGCAGCATGCTGACACGGGGCGCAACGCACAGACAGAGCACATAGGCCTGGCGCGATGTGGGCGTCAAAGTGTGGCCCGGCACGTGCCGGGCCAATATGAAGCATGCTCAACCTGGACGTTTTGAACACGGTACGTCTCGCGGCTCCCAATAACAGGGGACATGTCGACCCCTATCCCAGACTGTGGGAGGTTTTCGAATGGACCAGAAACTTGGGGCCCAACCCTGGGATGTACGGTGGGGGGCGTCCATCCTCGATAAGGGTGCGTCCGAACAGCCTCCTTGGGGTGTATCCCAGGCTTCCCACCCCTTTCTGGGCGACTTCCTCTGTCGTCGAAGAGCCGGGGGTCGGGGGAACGAGATCGCCTGCGACTCCACGGGCGTCATGATCAGGGCAGCTGCGCCCACCGAGCAATCGCCGGCCAGCTCGGGGCGCGCGCCAGCAGCCTGCGCGCACACTGCCCGCTGGGCGCTGCGGGGCCGGCCGCCGCCGGGCTGGTCGCCGCCGCCGCCGCGCGGCCTGGCGGCCGAGGGCTCCGAGGGCGCGCTGGCCGCCGGCGCTGGCGGGGCCCCCGGGGAGCCGCAGGGCCGGCCGCCGCTGGGCTCGGCGGCGGGGGGGCCGTCTGGCGCGGCGGCGGGGAGGCCTGCGGCGGAGGCCCCGCCATGGGGAGGCGAGCGCATCGGGGAACCGATGCCGATCCCCACTGGCTTAGGCTTGGCCCCGGTGGCCATGTCGGCCCTCCGGGTGGACGAAACTCCTGCTCCCTTCGGGTCTCGTGAGGCCGCTCCGCACCTGGGCTGGGGGCGATGTCGGCTTCCTGCGCGAGCTGGGGTCGAAGCACCAGTTCCGCACTGGAGCTCGTCTGCTGAATCGAACGGTGTTTCGACTAAATCTCGGGATCTGGAGCAGCTGAAGAGCTCTCTGGTACATTATTATGTCGGGCATGATCGAGCACATCGGTCTGCAACCTCGAGGGTGCCTAGACCGGGTTGCTACTCGAACTATAATCGAAACACTCGTTATGCACTGCAACTATTATGCTGTCTCGACCGATGTTTTTCCTAGTCTGGGGATGCGGGGCAGCCGAAGAGGTTACCGGCACATCATTCGGTCGGGCATGGTCGAACGCATTGGTCTGAAATCTCGACGGTGCCGAGATCGGCTTCCTGCTCGAGCTATGATCGAAACATCGAATTTCCTACTGCACTTAACTTGGTCTGGGCTTCCAGTGCCGACCATGTGTCTCAACATGCAGCGTTGGTGTTTAGAGTCTCTATGCTGGCATATTGCTCTCCAAAGCCTCTCGGCAGGTCTTCCAGCTGGCGACACCATCGACACTACCCCAGCATGGGCTTTCTCGCTTGGCTTTGCAGCCCCAAACTTCGCCTGAGAAGGCTCCTGGGTAGAAGGCCGTAGGAATAAGACATGATTACGAAGGTTTCTCGGGTGTGCCGCAAGGTGGCAGAAGCCAAATGCAGGCCAAACGCACTGGGTCATGTTTAGGGAGGACCCAAGCCTCGGTCGCATAAGCATTAGCACAACGTGAATGTCTCTTCCGCTCGAAATTGCTCTGCGGAGTCTCCCGTACAGACACAGGCTCGGCCGAATTCTGGCCGCAACGATGCGGTGCCCCTGCGGGAGCCAGACAAGACGAGAAAGCTGCGGTAGCTGGTACGCTGGGCCAAAGAGGCATGCAGGATGACAAGTCCAGCAAGGGCGACCGCAAACGCAAGCACGGCCCACAGAACGCCCCGAAGACACCCGAGAAACGCTCCCCAACGCGAGGGACAATCATGCCGGTCTTCTGGGGTGCAGGCACTGTATGCCAACCAAGCTGCGGACATCACGACTCCGATGCCCTCGTCGAGCTCCAGCTTTTGGGACATGTGCACGCCCTCCCCGGCGGCAGCAGCAACATACAGCGGATGTACTACCTACCCTGGCGAAGGGCCAAACCCCACGCAGCTGCGTGCAGAGCAGGGTGCGCGCCAATCTTCGTCTGCTGCGCGCCGTGGGGCAGTGTGGATAACAGGCTGCCGAGCAAGCGCACAGAGGCTCGCTAACTTCCCCGCGGGGCACGATCTGCATGAAGTGGGTGTGGTGTAGAATTGAGCGGAGAACGCCCTACGCGAACGCGGCGAATGAGGCCATAAATGAAGTTCCCTGTCAGGTACGATCCGTGTAGCCGTGTAGGGGAACGCTGAAAGGGCGAGGCTCCACTCGGACTTGCCCACTGCTGCCGTAAGTGGAGCCCCCTGTGGTGCACGATCCGAGTGAGGAGTGGGCCGACATGGGCGAGTGAGTTGATGCGGACCCTCTCTCTCGGGCCTCAGGTGGAGCCCCCCTGTGGGGCACGATCCGCACGAGGGGTGAGCCGAAACGGGGAGAGCAGGAGGAGGAGGAGGAGGAGGAGGAGGAGGAGGAGGAGGAGGAGGAGGAGGAGGAGGAGGAAGAGGACGAGAGGGAAGGGCAGGCCCCTGACCACCAGGGGGTGTACGCAAACTGTACCTGCGAAGCCAGGCCCTTGACCCCTGCGCCGGACTGCCCCCGCCCCCGCACCCTGATTTCCCCCCTATGCATTGAATGCGCTTTTGTTGCTCTCGGGAATGGGCGTTTGTCTTGACAGTGTATAGGTTGCGAGCGAGCGCGCGAGGAGAAGGCGGGAATGGTGGAGGAGGATGAGGAGGAGGAGTCCTGAGGAGGAGGAGGATGAGGAGGGGGGGAAGACAAGCTAGGTGCGCTCGCGTCATATCTGACGTCCTACACCTCCCTCCCAGCACTTACCATGGCAGAGATTCCCTCTCTATTCGCACAATCGGATGTCGTAGCATGGCATAGCATGACAGGCATAGTATAGCATGGTGTTAAATATTAACGCGTAGCACGACAATAGCATGGCGTGGCGACGCCCCCAAAGTGGGGGGGGCTTCCGCGGCCCCAAAAATCAACGAATCGACACCGAATGTGTAATCACTTCCGCACTTCCGATGGTTTCTTCGGGAGACCATTGTTTAGATTTGGAGGCCGATTTGGAAGGACCGAAAACCACACCGTGGTATGGCGTTGGATATAATCACGCCAGAGCTGCAGCGGGAGCACGGGTCGGAACGAGCGGAAGCGCGGAAATGAGGCCACCGCTGCTGCGGGGGCTCGGAACGAGCGGTAGCCCGAACATGAGGCCAGCACTTCAGCGAGAGCAGCATGTGGGGAACAAGCCAAACGCGGAAACGCGGAAATGAGGACGCGCAGCCCGACATAGAACGGCGTGGCGACGCCCCCAAGTGGGGGGGGGCACCTGCGGCCCCCAAAATCAACGAATCGGCACCGAATGTGCAATCGCTTCCGATGGTCTTTTTCGGGAGGCGTTTCCTAAAGTTGTGGGCCATTTGGAAGGAGCGAAAACCATGCCGTGGCATGGCGCTGGTCGTAATGACGCCAACGCCGCAACGGGAGCACGATGCGGAACGAGCGGAAGCGCGGAAATGAGGCCAACGCTGCAGCGGAAACACGATTCTGAACGAGCGGTAGCCCGAAAACGAGGCCAGCCAGCGCTTCAGCAAGAGCAGCGTTTTGAACAGAGTCCCAAGCGCGGAAGCGCGGAAATGAGAAGGCGTAGCCTGACATAGCATGGCGTGGCCACGCCTCAGAAAATCAACGAATCGACACCGAAGGTGCAAGCACTTCCGATGTTTTTTTTTTCGGGGGGCCATTTATAATTACTTCGGCCTATTTGGAAGGTCCGAAAGACATGCCGTGGCATGACGCTGGAACTAACGAGGCCATCGCTACAGCTGGAGCACGATTCGGAACGAGCGGAAGCGCGGAAATGAGGCCAGCGCTGCAGCGGGAGCGGCATTCTGGTAAACAAGCCCGGCGAAAACCAACTCCCGGGACTCCTCTGCAAAAAACCAGTACGCGGAGGGGGCCGAACAGTCCCTGGACGCCACCGGGAGAGAGGAGCGTAGTATTCATATCATCTACTTGTAGAGATAGAGTGGCGCGCGGAGCGCGCCAGGGGCGGCGCCAGAGACGTCGCCAGAGGGACCCGAGCGCCGGCCCACGGAACCGGCGCAGACCTCAGCCAAACTATGTTATGCCGTTTTGGGTTCCTCGAAAAAAACGGGAGGAGTGGCAGGAGGAGAGGCGTGGCCAGTTCTGGAAAGCCTGAATTCAAATATTTTGCCATCGCAGGTGCATGTGTTTACTTCCGCTGGCTTCCGCTAACCTTCCGCTGGCTTCCGCCGGCTCGTCTTTTACTCAAGCGGGCTTCTGCCGCCCTTCCGCCGCCTGTCGCCGCCGAGGAGGAGATGACAACTCGCTGGACCCTCGAAGGCGAGGCCCTTCTTGGGATGCCTCGCGCGGAAACGCGCGGCATCAGCGGAGAGAGACCGAGGATCCACCGACACAGCAGGCTGGTGAGCCGCGGGCCGTCTGCCGCGGCCACGTCGCCAAAAGCGCCCGCCGCGGGCTGCGCGGGCGCGGGCGGCAGCGACACCCGGTCCTGCGAGTAGGGGGCCGCCATATGCCCAGCTTCCAGACATGCTCACGCCGTAGAACAAATCACGACGGACATAACGTTTCTGTTGTTGGGCTCTCGCTTCTGCTGATCAACACTTAGTGTTGATCCCCCCCTCCAATGCCTACTGTGTTTTTGTTCAGAGTGTCCTGTTGCGCTGGGTGCTCGTTTTGATGAGACCGCGCCGCGCGTCACTCACCTCACCTCCGTCCTCACCCTCCCTCCTCCAATCCCTGCATCTGCCCTCCGCATCTCCACTCCGCCACACCCCTCAAACGCTTCGTGGCCCCATAGGGAGCTCCACCGAAGGCCCCAACCGCCGCATTCCCAGGCGGTTCCCCGCCCACCGCATGCCCATGTTGGCACACCCAGCACACGCTTCGCGGCCCCAGAAGGAGCTCCACCGAACGCCCCAGCGGCCGGGTTCGCATGCGGTTCCCCGCCCACCACGTGTCCATTGTGGTACACCCTCACACGTTTCGTGGTCCCTTAAGGAGCTCCACCGAAGGCCCCGGCGGCCGCGTTCGCATGCGGTTCCCCGCCCACCGCATGCCCATGTTGGCACACCCCCCACGTTTTGTGGCCCCATAAAGAGCTCCATCGAAAGCCCCATCGGCCTCATTTGTTTGCGGTTCCCCGCCCACCGCATGCGCATTTCGGCACACCCGTCGCAGGCTTCGCGGCCCCATACAGAGCCCCACCGAAAACCCCAGTGGCAGGGTTTACGGTCGCCACCCTCCTCACCCTGCCTCCGCACCCTCCCTCCTCCCATCCCTGCATCTGTCCTCCGAATCTCCATTCCGCCACACCCCTCAAACGTTTCGCGGCCTCATAGGGACCTCTACAGAAGTCCCCAGCGGCCGCGGCCGCATGCGGTTCCCCGCCCACCGCATGCCCATGTTGGCACACCCCTCGCCCCGTCGCACGTTTCGTGGTCCCTTAAGGAGCTCCACCGAATACGCTCGAGCAGCAGCCTCGTTTTCAAGAGAAAATGCGAGGCCGGGACCCTAGTGCCCTGCCCCCAATTGCGAAGGGGGGGGCGCAACCGCAACTCCGCAACGTCCGCTGCCACCATAGGGCTTGGTAAACGAATGGCACATAGCATCCCACTAAGATTCTGTGCAGAATTTCGATGTGCGCACCAGCCGAGCGAGCTGCTCCTCTGACATCTACAACCTACAGGGAGGCACTATAGGACCTACTGGGACATGTATCCGGGCTCTATAGGACCAACTCGGACATGTATACGGGCTCTATAGGACCTACTGGGACATGTATACGGGCTCTATAGGACCTACTAGGACATGTATACGGGCTCTATAGTACCTACTGAAACATGTACACGGGCTCTATAGAACCAGCTGGGTCATGTATACGGGCTCTATAGGACCTACTGGGACATGTATACGGGCTCTACAGGACTTAGTGGGACATGTATACGGGCTCTATAGGACCTACTAGGACATGTATACGGGCTCTATAGGACCTACTGGGACATGACTGCGGGGCTCTATAGGGCTCTATAGGACCTACTGGGACATGTACAAACGGGCTCTATAGGACCTACTGGGACATGTAAAAGGGGCTCTATAGGACCTACTGGGACATGTATAAAGGGCTCTATAGGACCTACTGGGACATGTATACGGGCTCTAGAAGCCCTACTGTGACATGTATACAAAGGGATTCTCTGGGACCGACTACTACTACTACTACTACTACTACTACTACTACTACTACTATTCTACTACTCCTATTATACTAGCGCTACTACTACTCTATACTACTACTACTACTACTACTACTACTACTACTACTGCTACTACTGCTACTGCTACTGCTACTAGCGACTACTACGACTACTAAGACTACTACGACTACTCTACTACGACTACTCACACTACTACTACTACTACACTACTACTACACTACTACTACTACTACTACTACTAGTACTACTACTACTTCTGCCGCTGCTGCTACTGCTACTACTACTATACTACTACTACTACTACTACTACTACTACTACTACTACTACTACTACTACTACTACTGCTAGTTCTACTAATACTACTACTACACCTGCTACTACTAAAAGTACTAGTGCTACCACTTCTACTACTCCTACTACTTCTGCTTCTTCTACTACTTCTTCTACTACTACTTCTATTACTGCGACTACTATTACTATTACGACTACTACTACGACTACTACTACTACTACTACTACTACTACTACTTCTTCTCTACTACTTACACTACTACTACTACTACTACTACGACTGCTACTACTACTACTACTACTACTACTGCTGCTGCGCTGCTGGCTGCTAATACTAATACTAATTACTACTACTACTACTAATTACTACTACTACTAATTATTATTATTACTACTACTACTACTACTACTGCTACTACTACTACTACTACTACTACTACTACTACTACTACTACTACTACTACTACTACTACTACTACTAC